TTGATGAAGTTGTTTCGTCACCTTTTGTTGTGAATTCCGGGAGATAGGATAAAGCTGAATGTGTGTTTGAAGTTTGAAGTGTTTGTATTGCGTACATACGGAAATGTACTAAGACTTAAAAGTTATCTCACATTTCTACTGTGTCTTTTTCTGGCTTTTTAAAGGGGAACTTTTATAAATACTTCTTTCACTAGTAACATTCAACTTCAAGGCCTGGCGGGTAGAGAACAGCCCCGTGCAACTCCCATGTTATTGGTTGGCAACGTGGCGGCCATGACACGATCTACACGATCTACACATCATATAGATCAATAACACAAGTTGTATGCGCATGCGTTAATATTGCACACCACTTCCACCATGGCCTGATAACCCACATCTCTACCACCACCTGTTGGAATCAGTAACAAGTGAGGATTTATGTAGCGGCTGCTTCGGTCTGTTCTTCGAGTCCGGTTACTCTTCGGGAAGATATTGCTTAAGCTGGAGGTCAAAGTTAAATGATAAACAGGGTAGACCGTGCAATAGCTCAAGCGGATAGTCGCTGACTTCCAACCGCGGAGGCCCGGGTTCGATCCCGGGTCTGGTCAAGTGGGATTTGTGGTGGACAAAGTGGCGCTGGGGAAGGTTCTCTCCGAATACTTCGATTTCCCCTGTCAATCTTCATTCCACCAAATTCTCCATCATCGTAATTACCCGGGTCAGGCTACAATAGGCCAATCAGTGGCCGCCGTGCCGAGTAGACCCAGTTGGACTCCACCTCCCACTAAGCGAATTAAAAAATGATAAGTCGAGCATATTCTTTGTTAGAGCAAGGGAAGTTTTCCCTTAATCCGTAGCAAATAGTGCGTAAGTGTAGTTCATCGGGACTTGAACCCGCGACCTCCCAGCTTGTAGTATAGTGCCTCAACCAACTACACTACCGAGTGCTCGAAATACCAGGTGTGGGAAGTACATCGGGGTAACGACTGTTCACGTACACTTCCTATATAAAATTCACTAACGTAGAAACAGAAAAATCCTGCTTATATTGGGAGATGTTACATTTTCAAAGACAACAACTATTCATAGAGTCGCGAACATACTAAATAAACAGGATCGCTATTATACAAAAGAGAACAGAGTTAAATCTCCCAGTGCTCACTGAATATAAAGTGCATGAAATGAACGCTCCATTTCAACACTCCCCTCGAAAATACTACAGACTCCTTGCACAGGAGACGCGGATTTAAAATCGTCGACACGAACTGCGTCAAAACTCATAAAATTGTGAGCATATAAGGCAACATCGGTTGGCCGACACGTGACTTATACGTTCGCTTTACGGAAGCTGTTCAGTTTACTTGGGCAAGTCATAATATCAGCTATTCTATGTCTTCTGTTTTTCTTCAGTGCATTAAAATCTTTTTATTTACACACTGTCATATCTCCGAGATTAGAATGTTAATGTGCACATCAATAGGCTGTACAGGATATCTAAGCCCATCTCGGTAGGAGACACAACAGATAAGTCACAGTAAACACCTCAAATCTGTTTTCTGCTCTTTTCTGTATAAACCAGTTCATATTGTATCTTCGTTAGTTACAAGCCAGTAAACCCTTATACAGGGTGTGATTGCCCAACACGGATTTTATTGGACACTGTAAAAGCAAATTCTTTGTAGTGTTCCAATTGACTTGCTTTCTTTCATTTTATTTTCATTTTATAAAATTTAGTATTTATGATTTCTTTAAGATGAATTTAGTATATAGAATTTAAATAATTTTTTTAGGAAAAATGAAAGACTAACAGATCATTAATTATTTTGATCATAAAATTCTCGTGGGATATCATTGCCGTGTGGCTTAATATAAGAAGAATATAAATAGCGTACTTCATAGTCCAGGATACAAATTTCCTAACGACGCTCTTTGCTATTTAAGACGGTCAGTTGCAGCCGATATATAAGCACCGTGTCACTAAATTGCAAAATGTATTTGATTTGATGTGAAAATTTCACATTTATACAATATAATATTGCACAATAATATATTATAGAAAAAAATATTTGAGAAAAGATTTGTGGGTTGAACGGAAGATAATTTTATGGTCATATGTGGGCTTCATGGTCGGCCTGTATGGCTCAAAATTATAATTTTCGGCTTATGTAATGCGAAGAGATATCATTAAATTTCATAAAAAGTTGAGTAATGGCTTATGATGTACCTGAAGTAGGCCTTTTATGACCTCAAGCAAGGCAGACTTAGTAATCTGTCAATGTGTTTGGAAGTAAATATGAACAATCATGGTTATGTATATATCTCTGGTATCCAATTTCACCAAAATTTATTTAATGGTTTAAGATTTAAAGGACGCTTTTAGTGCCTGTACGCAATGTATGCTTTGTTGTGGATTGATATGCTGAAAATTAGAATTTCCAAATAGTTTTAATGAAAGGATCGAAAGTCGAATTAAACAATGACTAAATAAAATGCTCAGATTTAGGCACTAATTCAAGGTCACAACGAATTCTCATGACGTTCAGAGAAGTCGTGCCTTTTCTTTACTCTGCAACAACCGTCTGACCCTCTGTGTACAATAAATATCGGACGTTTCTTCGTACTTAGAAAAGCCCATGAGTTTGCAGATGCAGATTGATCACAGTGGCCGTGCGGTCTAAGGCATGAACTGTCTTCCCACGCTAGAACACTGAGATCATGTGTTCGAATCCCACTCGAGGCATAGATGTCTGTGTGCGTTTATTCTGGGTTTGTGTTGCCCTGTGTGCAGGTAGCGACCTTGCAACGGGCTGATCCCCCTTTCAAGGAGTCCTACGGACTGTGTATAAATTAAGAAACTGAAAAAGCGGCCAAGGTCCACAAGGGCTGTAGAGCCATAGATAGATGCAGGAAGAACTAATTTTACTGAAAAACAGTAAATATTACATCTTAAAACTTCGATTCGGATGCTTACCAACAACGCAGTTACATCAATTCTCCTTTACTGCGAGTAGGAAATTATAGGTTTTATACAATGATTGACAGGGATGTGAAATTATAAACGATGACTCCAGCAGGATTTAACGCAAATATTATTGGTCTAATGATGTATAGAATAGGAAGTTCTCAAGTTCGAGTTCTTCACGAAAACGCCTTATGGTGGCCTGGATTGGTTTTGCCTAAAGGCGGGTCGCAGAATCCTCAGCAGTGAAGGGATCCCATTCGTGCAGACCAACGAGACCAGCGCTCTCACTCCACAGTCTCCTAAGCAGCTCCCTGTCGTTTACCTTGGAGTTGCAAGTCGACTTCCTGCAGTCACTGTCAACAGAAGAGCTTGTTGTCACTAAAGTATCTGTTATGGACAGGGTTCTGAAATATATTCTCTAAAATTTCAATAATAATTTGCGAACTTACTGTAGTATTTTATATTGGTATAATATTTTCTATAAATGTAAACAAGTTTTTGACCCAATAGCTTTGGAAAATCATCCTAGGTTATTAATTTCAAGCATGATACCAGTGCGTCGCTCGAAATGTTCCCCTTTAGAAAAAAAAACTCCGTGGCCTATAGTTCACAAGCGAACTATACCGACCGAGCGACCGTCACTTGTCGGTGTAGGGGGTGTCAGGTGCTCAGCTCAACTGATCCCCACGGCCGTTAATCTCGGGTTTCTAGACCGGAGCCGCTATTTCCTTGAAATAGCTCCTCGATTATCCTTACGAGGCTGAATGGACCCCGTTCCAGACCCACTACTTCTCAGAAAATCTGGTAGCGCCAGGAATCTAACCCGGACCTATGAATGTGTAGGCAGGAACTCTGACCACTAGATCACAGAGGCGGTCAATGTTCCCTTTTTTAATAAGTTATATTTTTGCTTGAAATAATATATATCAAAAGTTGGCTCATGTGTCAATAAAATGAAGCACAGTTCCAGTGCTTTAGGCTGTACATTAATTGGCGTTTCGTATACATGTCTATTTAATTTGCTGCAAAGCATTTTTAAGTAAGATACACAAATTTGTGTATTTTCGCTAAGAGTTTTACATTGCAGTTAAATGTAATAAACATCATTTAGGTGACCTGATGCTGTGCTACTGCTGTCATGTTGAAACATTAAGCACTCTGTCTATTTAGACTTAGAATTAATCAGAGAAAGTAACAATTTTTATGTCATTTAAGGATTGTCATTCCTTACTTACATCCCAGCACAGTACAAGAAAGCATACATTCATGCTGTAGACGGGTTTCGAACCAGTTTCCTTATTATTTGTCCTTAAATTGCGAACTCGCGCATTTCCTCTTATAGAGGTTGTCATTTTCTATGTCTAACATAACCTGCAGCATGTATATGTACATCACGGTGATTAAGTCTTATGGTTTTATTGAACAAACTACTTCTTGTCTCTGTACTAATATAGATGACGCATGTGGCTGTGATTTCCTGACTTCCGTGAGATGGCGTCTGGTAATGCATAACGAGATTAGACATTTCTTGTGCGTACAGAGGAAACTACGAGTATGTTGGCTCCGTAAAAATTTATTGTTTTTAGAAGAACAACTTTCACTTGAAGAAATTTAATTCTATACTGACCTCACATTTAAATGCTAAAGCGTATTTTAATGAGATACCTGTAGTACAGTCCCGTCTCCCTGCCTGCCTCCTCAGACACCGCACAGTGGATTGTTGTCTGCGCGCCCTGTTCACATGTCTTCAGCACGTACACCAGGACATTCTCAAACAGCCACTTTGCGCCGGGGAACCAAGTCTTGTTTGCATGACGCGCACCCTCCGAAACCACGATTCCAGGATGCAGTGAATATGTGGTCACACCCGTACCTGAACACAGCACATTTCCTTCGTGAGCCTGCAGAACTCTGCTCTTGCAAGCCGACAGTTAAATACTACATAAACTTAAAATTTGAATCAAGTTAAGTGTGAGAATTAAAATTATATTACTCTGTAATATTATGACTGCAATTTTTCTTGTAGATAAACCTGCCTTTCGCATTATATTTGCCTGAGATATAATTTTATGGGGCAAATAGAAAATATTTTTCATCTATATGTTTAGTAATTCATACACACATTCACACCCCTATATACTCGTACAAGTACGGACATACATTAGGAGGCGCGCGGACAAAGAAACTTGGCTTGAATCCGCAAGCGACTTATACTGACCGAGCGACCGCCACTTGTCGTCGAAGTTAGTGCCAACTTTAGCGGATAGACGGTGTCACATGTTCAGCGCAATGAATCCCCAAGGCCCTTAGTTTCAGTTTTCTATACCAGCGCCGCTATTTCCTTGAAATAGCTCCTCAACTATCCTCACGAGGCTGAGTGGACACCGTTCCAGACCCACTACTTCTCAGAAAATCTGGTAGCGCCGGGAGTCTAACCCAGACCTCTCGATCTGTAGCCAAGAACTCTGACCACTAGACTACAGAGGCGGTCAGAGTGGGGTGCGCGAAAACATACACAAAATAAGATCGTAAACACGCACAGAGTACGATAGTAAGTACATACATACAGCCATAGATACACACATACATGCCTCATACACTCTAGAGCGGCAGCGCTGTCACGCAAGCATGCACACACAAGGGTAGGCTCACATTCACACGCATAAACAAATCCTCACACGCCCATTCTTAAGCACACGAGCACAAATACGCTTACAAGGATGCACGTGCGTCTAAACACATAAGTATGCGCGCGCACCCGCTCAAACAGACATGTTTGAACACACACATACACACTTCACATTAATCCCGAATTTTCTAAATTAATTTTTTGGGCAGTTTGATTATGATATTATTAGACATTTCTTCACAATCATCATCATCACAATCACCCTTCCATATTCCTGGTATGTAGCCTATAACAGTATCATACCAGCGAGATACAGACACGCAAGTAATTGAAAAAATTAAACAAATCGAATTTGTTTGCATTTCAACTGGACGAACCTACGGATATTCAGAACAAAAGTATTCTTCTTACGTGTGTACGATATATTGACCATGACGAAAGTGACATGAAGAAAGATATTTTTGAGTGATTTCAAGTTTGTTTAAGGGCCGGACTTTATCGGCCGGACTTTNCTTCACTTCGACGCGGTGTATGCCTCGACTAAATTCAGTGGAATGAGTCTTACATCCCAGGGGTACACGGGTGTTGGCTCGATCGGTTAACCCCCTAGCACAGGTTCCACAGGAGCACCCTCACTACCTGGCTTCTACTCACTGACTCCCCGGCTTCCACTCACTGACTCACTGCTGACCCCCGCTGCTGCTTCCAGAAACCACGTTCTTAACCATCTCGAACTTTCCACTGGGAGGTTTTCATGACCAAATAAACGGACCCCTTCCGGTCTGCACACCTTCTAGAATTTTCTCGAAGCTTCGATCCACAGGTCCTCCACCCCCACAGGCACGGACGAAAGAAGGTATACCTACTCCCCCTTGAATGCAATGGACTCAACAACCTCCCTTCTGTCCCTCGCAACAAAAGGCTAAATTCAGAGGACCATGATCCCTCCGGGGCATCTCGTTTCTACAGCTAAACTTAACCGTTACTTACAAACAAATAAGACTTTCCGTGAAGGATGCGTACGGTTACAATATTTTTGAGTGATTTCAAGTTTGTTTAAGGGCCGGACTTTATCGGCCGGACTTTTAAATTGCCGGTAGCCCCTGTACGGCCGGAATTTAAATCGCCCCAATTGATGATCTTTGCAAACCTTGAGAAAAAAATACATATTTTCCGTTCTATGCAACATAGAAATATGAACTAAAAAGAATCTGAAAGACAAGAGAATTTTCTACATATATGTAAAAGATCAAGTTTTAAAAATGAAAATTAAATCCCCCTGTCTGTTGTTTTCCATCGCGAAGCTATCGGCAAAAATTAAAAATTCCATAAAAATTGATAGCAGCATGCCAGAATTATGCAGTTTTGGTCTCCCCTGTTCTGGTTACATTCAACACCATGCCAGAGCCGCGGGGTCTAGGCCACTGAGTGTTATGAGAGGAGAGGCTGATTTCATCATGCCTACACGATTTATATGCGTTTGCTTCTTAGCTGATAAGTGCTGTTATCTGAACAGGTGCTCTTTAAACAGTGTGTGGTAGTGCCTAGCTAACGCGAGGCCCTTATGCACCCTGAAAGAGAATCTCATCGCCCTAGTGCTAATGCAGTACCTATCACCTGTAGTTTCCGGTTCATCCCCCCTTTTCCCCCGAATAGTAAACCTTTGTAGTAAGCTTACTGGCATCCATCATTCATGTAACTCATATCCCACAGACAAACAATAACCACAACAACAACAACAACAAAAAGGGGAAGAACTGGGTAAGAAGGACGCAGCAGCAACCTGCAAACTCGGAGTACCAACAGATGAGGGGGAGCGGCTAGAGGAGAAGCTGCAACCCGCAACGTAGGAGCCAAAGGACGGTTAGAGAGGGGAGACCCATGTCTGTACTCCTCGCCTGATCCCCACCAAGTTTTGTTCCTAATATTATTCGGACGATCAAACCAAGAAACAAAACATGGGCGAGGCATGTAGCACAGATGGGAGAGAAAGTATTCTTATAAAATTTAGACGGAATTCTTGGAGGAAAAGGCCACTTGGGAAACCAAGGCGTAGGTTTGGAAAACTTGGCCCAAAATACGTATGGCCTAGTACCGTGATCTTGTGAATGGGGTAGATTAGCCTTCGGGTACCATAAATTGAGGGGACATTCTTGAGTAGATAAGAAAATGTTAGTTTCTTTAGTAGTACGTAATTCCATAGATTTACTTAAGTGATTAATTAATTTTGTTTATAAATTGCGGTCTCCTTTATGAAAATATTAACTGTGACAAAGCTCACTTAGCTGATAAAGTTACCTTCAAGTCTTCTGGCTAGTTCAGCACTGAACAATACGTTGGCTAGTTTTGACTCTGAGTATGCTGCAAAGGAGCTGTATCGTCTCTTCTCCCAATGCAGGTCGTCAAAACAAATTCTTCGAGCTGAAACAATAGTGTCTGTAGTCATTTGTTTTAAATATTTTGGGGGTCGTGACTTCATTAAGTGCGAAACCACCCTATGGCTATTTCATTGTCAGATATAAGGCATCTTTCTTTATGAGGTGTCTGTAACAATGTGCCAATTTTGAAATTAATTTAATACTCACTCCATGATACGCGCATGCTACGAGCAGTTAATGGTCATGTAGTTAGTTAGTTAGTTATTGGAGAGGGTGGGTTTCCCCATGCACTGAGACCTGTATTGGTCCATTGTGCTTCCCTCTATGATTTCTACCAGTCTCTATATCCTACCGGTACTGGTGCTTACCATCAGTCCCGCCCAGCCAGCGAGACCGGCTCTACTAGCTGAGAGGTATCTATAATGCTTCCCCCATCTACCGGAGGTATTAGAGACTGCTGTTGGGCGGGAAACGTCCGTTAATTTGGCTCAGTGACCTCCTTTGGAGATATGAGGTTCTTTTACGTGCCGTAAAGCTACGACACGGGACCCACGGCTTAAAGTCCCTCCGGGAGGACTTGTTCCCTGAATTTTTCCGCCCTTAAAAATTCTACGACCTCCCCCGGGTATTTGAACCCGTGTACTACGAGTCGGAACCTGTTGGAGGCAATATATTTCTCTCTGACTTCAAAGTTTTATACGCCGTAGGCTGTTGTTATGTTGTTAATATTATTAGTACTACCACCACTGATGCTGTTGCAACTGTTACTACTACTACTACTACTAATAATAATAATAGTACAACAGTTTTTACTGCTGCAGCTACTACTGTTATTACTACTAGTACTTCTTCTATTTCTGCTACTACTTATATTTCTACTACTAATGCTTCTACTGCCGCTGCTACTACTACTGTTACTAATATTACTACTAATATTGTCTAGATAGTGTGGGACCCTCAACGTCTCACAACCCTATGGGCCTTCACGGCCTGTTACAGGGATAACTTTGCTTTTTTTTTACTCTTTCTGCTGATACTAAACTCTCCGTGATTTTAGTCCGCAAGCGATATATACCGACCGAGCGACCGCCGCTTGTCGGCGAAGTTTAGTGCCAACTTTTGCGGATAGAGGGTGACGCGTGGTCAGCGCAACGAATCCCCACAGCCGTTAATTTCGCTTTTCTAGACCTTAATTATCATTACGAGGCTGAGACCCACTACTTCTCAGAAAAAATCTGGTAGCCACGAACGCTGACCACTAGACCACAGAGGCGGTCCTACTACTGCTGCTGCTACTACTATTAACATGACTGCTGCAGCCACCATCTTTTGTGTGTGTTTTGACTTGGCAGGGAACAAAATTCAGTCGCTCCAAACACTCAGACCAGTTAGTACCTAAGTGTGTAACATTGTCACACGATTGAATGACTGCTGACGGGCTAAGGATTGGAAACTAGACTTATTGAATTCTAACTGATCCGTGTCTGCAAGTAAATATAACCGTTTTACTAATTCACACACTTCACATTTCATTAGAACACGTATTTAAGACTTCTCAGCCTGCTGTGCCCTCAGGAGTCTCCTGGTAACGGCTTCCAACGGCGGACGTTCCCCTTCCTCCCAGTTCCCGAATTAACCCCCGGCCTTAGCTGCAGCAACTCGAAATTAACTTACTGATCAACTGAAGTTGAGAGGTAAGCGAGAACTGCTGCAGTTCAGTCTAGAAGCTGGTAGCTGAGTCACGAGGGAAGTTCGAGAACCCAGAGTAAAGGAACATCCGCCGTTGAATGCCGTTACGTAGCAACGAGTAGTACAGACTATAACAGACTGAGAATACTAGCGTTTGCTTATAACAGTGAAATGTAAAGCGTAGTCACGAGTCGTGTGTGAAAGTTGCTACAAATCAAGTCAATCAATCCAAGCCCCATCTATAGTCATTTACATGCATGAGAGTATCGTAGTGTGAAGTGCGTCCAGGACTGTAATTTTATGCAGTTTACTGATTCTCGTCAGAAATGCTGTTTTCATACGAAACTTAGTATCGTTTACACATAAAATTGACAATATTTCGGTTTATAAAAAAATTAAGGAATAATCTAGTAATTTCATATCAGCGTGTAAACTACTTCGGAATTCTGTTGAACAGTAAGCGTAATATCCACTCACTCATTGAGGTGAGCCCTTCTTGAGAAGCTGCCAATTGTGCACCTACTCAAGAACTTTCCAGCATTTTATGGAACCCGAAGTTTCATCATCATATTCACAAGAGCCCTTCACTAGTCCATATCCTGAGCCATAGATATCCAATCCATACCATTCCAACCTACCTCTCCAAGATCCCTTTTAATATTGTCCACCCAGCTAAGTCTTGCTCTTCCTAGTGGTCTCTTTCCTTCTGGCTTTCCCACATTCCTCGTCTCCCCCGTTCGTACTACATGCCCTGCCCATCTCATCCTCCTTCACTTGATCATTCTAATTATACTTGGAGAAGAGCACAAGTTATGAAGCTCCTCATTATGCAGTTTTATCCAACCTCCCGTCACTTCATTTCTTTTCGGTCCAAATATTCTTCTCAAACACCCTGAGTCTATGTTCCTCCCTTAATGTCAGAGACCAAGTTTCACACCCACAGCGATGTTAATTCTATTCAACTCAAGATTTCAAAATGTTAGGTTCTATTTAACAAATATATTTTAGNCCTCAAATCTGACATATTTTAGGCTATTTCTAGTCTTATGATAATGGAAACTCTAATTCATTCTAAACAAGAGTAAATTTCTGTCGGCTGGAAAACTATTACTCATATGTAAGTAAGCCGTCGAAACTCGAACGGAAGGATGAATAATTTATGCTTTATTCTGTAGCAGAATTTTCTTAGTAGTATTAGCAGTAGTAGCATAATGAGGAGTATGATCTCGGCATTTTCCTGTAGGGGTAAGAAAAATCTGGACAGAGATTTAAAACCGGAACCTCAGAAAGCGGAAGCAGCTGTTCACTCCATTAAAGCGCTACTTCTGACGATACATTGAGACGCGCTAGAATTAGCTTGGAAAAATCGTCAATATTAATCTGTTATCTGTTACTATATTATATTAAGCATCCTGTTGCACTATACACTTCTATATATAATAATACAAATGCCGTCGTGAATGCAACAATTTATTTGGTTATTAATACGTATGCAAAAGTATTAATGATGAGCAGCGACACACACACAGAGAGCTTGCACAGAATAATACATGAACGGTGCTGGAAACAAGAATAGCCGCTGCAGCACATGTACACACAGAGCAGGTATCCCTGTGATTTAAAACTTTAAATTTTGAATTTTAATTTAAAATTGGAATTCTAAAATCAAATTGACGAGCGTATGTTGGCGAGATTTTAACAAAACTCTCAGGCTGGTGTTTAAGATTTTGAATTCTGTGCAGTATGACAGCTACGTAATGAAAAATACACCTGATGATGGCTGGTTGCCGCCGAAACATGTAGTGTAGAGGAAGAAAAGACAAAGAACTACAACCAAATAATTGTTGCATTCACGACTGTATTTGTATTATCACATATATAAATCTATTATTTAAAACTCTTATGTACGTTATATTTTACGATGGCAAACCTCTGATCTGCCTTACATAAAATCCAGAATAAAAACAAAGAAATAAACTCTGTGGCCTGTAGTCTGCAAGCTGGTCAGAGAAGTAAATGCCAACTTTTCCTGATAGAGGGTGTCGCGTGGTCAGCGCAACGGATCCCCACGTCCATTAATCTCTGTTTTCTAGACCGGAGCAGCTATTTCCTACAAGTAGCTCGTCAATTATCCTCACGAGGCCGAATAGACCCCGTTCCAGACTCACTACTACTCAGACAAACTTGTAGCACCGGGAATCGATCCCGGGACTTCAAGCGGTTAGTCGCTGGCTTCCCACCGTGGTGGTCCGGGTTCGATCTCGGGGTCTGGTGAAGTGGGATTTGTGGTGGACAAAGTAGCGCTAGGACTGGTTCTCTCCGAGTACTTCGGTTTCCCCTGCCAATCTTCATTCCACAAATTGCTTCACAATCACCCTCACCTTTCATCTGGGGCTGGTACAATAGGCCAGAAGTGGCCGCAGTACAAGGGACTTAGTCCCACCCCATTAGCAATAAAATAAATATTAGTTTAATGCGTAATAGGCTACAGAATGTTACCAAAGTGGTTTTTAACTGACGCAACCGTGACAATCCTGGCGGGAGCAGAGTGTATAATGCGGGGCAACAGAAGACACGTGAAGAGGAAGTGACCCAGGTGGTTGACTCCCATGTGGATCTCGAAGCCGTCTTCAGTGAATGCCCGCGGGCTGTAGCACACTCCTGCAAGCAGAATGCTGGTTCAGGCAACTTTTATGAAGAAAATCCACAGGATAACAAAAAACACATCGGTCGTGTGTGCCCAAATGTTGAACAATGCGATATATTTATAAAGTTTAGTCTGACCCGTGCAGGACTTTTAGAACATAGGAGGTTCCTTATATATTTACAACCTCGTTCTTTCAGCTGAGAATCACAAAACATACCAGATTTTCCTCTCGCTCTACTGCTTGATCATCAACTAACAAGGGAGGTTTCACATTTTCATTGTGTACAAAATGCGTTAAATTCAATTGCTTTTTAGTGTTCTCAACCATTGTTGTTCCCTATTTTGCATAATATTGCTCTACATTTTTTAATGTGTTCACTCGGACAGTGTAACGCGAATAAGCCGGGACACCTCAGTTCATGTGGCAACTAGCGTGCAGACCGGCTCTGGGTCCCACCCAGCCAATGGGAACTAAGGGCCATATTGCAGGGATAGCGCGGCAGGAGTGTGGAGTTGATAATGGACCTCCATCTATTGCAGAGGTGAAGGATGGTAAACCTACTCTACTTCTACTGCCCCATATTACATAATTACGTACAAAGGACAGACCTAACTTCACCGGCATGAAATGAATACGTCTAGGTTGATCAGCTGCGTGAATGTGGATTTGGTCTCCATGATTTCGAATGCTGTCTCTCTTTCAGTGAACAGGGTCTGAAACGACACTTTTTAAGTCAAATTCGCCTTAGGATTAGCTAAACCCAGTCAAATTTTCAACGCCGTAGATTTCTCAGCTTTAGTGTTTACAGCATTACGGGCTACCGACCGTCTCATACCTCCTCATGACCGCAGCTCCTGGCCGCGCCTGGCTACCAACTGTATCATACCTCCTTATGACCGAAGCTCCTGGCCGCACCTGGCTACCAACTGTCTCATACCTCCTCATGACCGCAGCTCCTGGCCGCGCCTGGCTACCAACTGTATCATACCTCCTTATGACCGAAGCTCCTGGCCGCGCCTGGCTACCAACTGTCTCATACCTCCTCATGACCGCAGCTTCTGGCCGCGCCTGGCTACCAACTGTCTCATACCTCCTCATGACCGCAGCTTCTGGCCGCGCCTGGCTACCAACTGTCTCATACCTCCTCATGACCGCAGCTTCTAGCCGCGCCTGGCTACCAACTGTCGACCTGCAGAGTTCCTCACCATGTTGACCGCAGTCAGAGTCAGAGTCACTTTACGCCTGGCGTTTTACTGCCAGTCAATGCGGAGAACCTTGTTTTGCAGCCCCTGCAGTTTTAAGGGCTTATTCCGGGGAGGGACAGGCATAAGTCATTATTGATCTGATCAGTGATTTATGGAGGATTAGTGTAAGGTTGGCGCCTAGACGCACACTTTTGAACAGGGGGTAGATTACAATAAATGTTCTGCAAGGCCTTAGCTTCAATCATTTTTGTGAGATATTTTGCATATCTGAGTAAGGCGATATTCAATCCATTCAGGGGGCTTAAATCTACAAGAAAAGTAGATGATCTGAGTCTTACCTTCATTATATTTTATGTTTCAGCCCTCACACCACCTCCCAATAGCACTGAGTCTCCGCTACATGTTTTTGAGAACATGACCCTCTTTACGGTCTGTCGCATATATGCAGAGATAAACACCAGGTCTTTTTAGTTTTTCATTTATAGAAATACTGTTCAATGTGGGGGACAGGACGGAACCTTGTGATATTTTACCTTCGACTGAGACTCTGAATTATCTCTGAGAATAAAAAGAGCCAATAAGCTTGAGTAGACTGATCGAAAATTTTAATTCAGATAATTTATTTAGCAAGCCAAAGTGCCAAGTTGTACTTTTTTAATATCCAAAACTACCGCAGCCATAGACACAATATTATTGATATTTAATATCACGAGGTCCATAAGCCTCATACATCGAAGTGTTGTGCTGTGACGGGCACGGAAACCAAACTGGCTTGCATTAAGCAGACGTTTTACTTCAATGTGCATTTGGACTATTTTCAGAATAACATTTTCGAATAGCTTGCCTATTGTAGATAAGAGGCTGATCGGGCGTAAATTTTGAGGATATTCTTTGTCCTTACCGGGTTTCGGCAACCTTATAATTTCGCTTCCTTCAAAGGCTTTGGAAAATGTGACACCCAAAGCGATAATCAAATAAACGTGTCAGATGGACCAGTGTTCTTGGAAGATGCCGGAGTCATTCTTTGGGAACTCATATACAGCTCCGTTTCGGTCCCTGTTATATAGCCACGGGTTGGATCCCATAGAGAATACTGCTTCCAACAGTTCATCTATTGTTACATGTTCATTTTTAAAAAAATTCCTTCACTGTTGCGTCAGCTCATTGCCGCGGAAACATGACTAAAAATCCAATGTCTCGCAAGGTTCGTCTCTTCTGGTTATGCTATCATGGTTTTAAGCAGACGTGTGACAATATATAAACATGGTTTTTATAATTTTAATTGTGTGTCTAATATATGGTAACATTTTCCAAATACTGGGGACTGCTATCGCACGCGTAAATAATTGTTGTAGTCCTAGGTTCATTACACAATTCGTCTGAGTGGCACGGGCCCATTTGTCCAACGTACATCTCGTTGAATTTACACGGGATGTGACACACGCCTGAGACACGCGGTAGCGTAGTTGGTTGAGGCAATATCCTACAAGTCGGAAGGTCGCGGGTTCAAGTCATGATGTGGTCATTGGATTTTTTTTTAAATTTACCTAATCCTTCCAACCGCACTGTGGCCCTGGGGTCGACTCAGCCTCTAACAGAAATGAGTAACAGGAATATTCTTGGGGATAAGGGCGGCCGGCGCGTAGGGCTGACGACCTTGCCGCCATCTATGATCCTATTGTCTAGAAAATGTTGGAGCCTCAATATCTCACAACCCTACGAGGCCTCCACGGCCTGTTACAGGGATAGCTTTATTTTTGTTTTTTTACTTTTGCTTCTACCAGAAGAGGTCCTAGGCGGGTGACCTAAGTTACGAGCAGGTGACCTTCATCTGCGTGTCTGAACCCGTAGCCTACAAATATTTTGAGACGCACACCCGACGTCACAGCAGACCTTGTGGAAATTTACTTCGACACTTTCATCATCGCATGATAACTTGTCAGTATATAACATGAGATGAGAGAAATCAGCAAGTTGTTTTCTTTGTCCATATTCTTGTTCCCGTGTGCACGCATTAGAACATGGGTTTGGCAAAGTTAGCTGTTAGATTAACAGTTTCCTCGCCCGTGTGTGGGTACATGTGAGGGAGATGACTGCTTCAGTAGAGTTATTATTATTATTATTATTAATATTATAATTGGAGGGGGTGGGTTTCCCCATGAACCGCGACTAATAGTCTATTGTACGTCCCCCTTTGATATTCTACCAGTCGTCATACCCTACCGGTACTGGTGCGTGCTATCAGCCCCGTTCAGCCAACGAGGTCGGCCCTCGGTACCTGATACTTCCCCCGTCTACCAGAGGTATTGGAAACTACTTGGGCGGAAAACTTGGTGCCTAATTTTGCTCAGAGGTCTCATAGAGACATGAGGATCTTTTACGTGCCGTAAATCTACGACACGGGACCCACGGCTTAAAGTCCCTCCCGGAGGACTTGTTCCCTGAATTTTTCCGCCCTTAAAATTTCCACTACCTCCGCCGGGTTTGAACCCGCGTACCTTGAGTCATGAAGTTGGAATGTTACCCCTAGCCGCTCTTCAGTAGAGTTACTTGTTCTCTCTGTAGGTATATTTGCCTATCATGACGATGCCTGGGTGACTGTACTACTTCCGCGCTTCTTTTGCAACTCGGGGTGTTGTTTCGCTCTCTGACTTATGCTAGCCGAGAGGTAGCATGTTAGAATTCATAAAAGCTGCCACTGGTCTCTCCCCAGTGTGTACTGTAGCCACAAGGACAAAACTTTTCAACAAAACTGAGTTGATGGTACTTGCATATACGCGCACGAGCACACACACACACAACAGCGCGCGAGAGAATATGTGTGTGCTTATTAGGAAATTGACAGCCAGAAGTCTGTCCCCGTGAATTTGGGTACAACCAAGACAAAACGATTATTCTAATCGATATCAAGGACTTCCTTATATAATTTATGTAAGGGCATGATGAGCATTATTTCAGCTTCAAGTAGCGGAGGCAGAATTACTTGCTGATATAACTTAAAAGTATATCGCATCACGTCGAGACGTGAGCTGGATGACTGAGGTTCAAGTCCCAACTTGATGATGATGTTGAGGGTCTTGTGGTTAATATTTGAATTGAATTATATTCATGTTTATTACAAAAAGAGTACCGCTCTCCAGCTTTCCTAGACATCACAGAAGAGGCTCATAAAGTATGGCACACAGACATTTTGTTCAAAATCAGAAAAATCCTCCCCCATGCATATTACAGAATATTGGAATGACATTAACAGATACACTCTTTGAAGTAAAATTCAAAGATGGAATCACAATCTTAAGCACAACTGAAGCACGCGTACCGCAAAAGAAGTGTCTTAGGACCCGTCCTATATCTTATCTACACAGGCGACCTCCCGACATCAGACAACACAACAGCTGCTTCCTTCGCCGATGATAAACAATCTTATCCGTACATGAAGATCCAGCGATAGCTTTAATGAAACTCCAAGCCACCATAATAAAATTGATGATTGGGCGAGGAAATGGGGAATTAAAATAAATCAAAGCAAATCCACGAATATTACTATCACCCTACCCAACTAAACCTGTCCGACAGTGCAAATGGGCAATGTTGATCTACCCCAGAAAAATGAAGTGAAATGCCTGGGCGTGCATCTCGATAGAAGACTGACATGGGCAAAGCACTTCAAAACCAAAAGAAAATGGTTCAACCTAAAACAGAAATGAATGCACTGGCACTTCAGAAGAAGCTCAACACTCTCAATAAAAGCAAACTCCTCCTATACAAATCAGTACTCAAACACGTATGGACCTAAGGAATCCAGCTGTGGGGGACAGCCTTCAAATGCAACACTGAAATCCTCAAGCGCTTTCAATCCAGATCTCTCCTTTCCATTCTGAACGTACCTCAGTTCATAAACACCCACAGAATCCATGAAGATCTACAAGTGATCACAGTGGTCAGTGAAATAAAAAGTTGGAATACAAATTTCTTAAGAAAAACACAAACCCACACCAATGCGCTAGCAGTCAGCGAGACTACACATAGGCTGAAATGATACACCGTCCTAACTCTACTAGACGGGCCTGAGTAAAACCCCAATACAAGAATTAAAGTGCTACCTAAGTGAACAAGAAAAGTATATGAGTTACGCCAGTGGGCATAACTCATTCACGAGCCTCTACTTACTGAACATATACATTTACTGCAGATTCAGCAGTTTGTGTATTTATTAACGTGGAAACTTAACAACAATTACAAATTTAACATCAGTAGGTAGAAAGGAACGGCAAAAAAAAAAATACGAACAAGATATAAAACAAGGCAATTTATACAATAATAATAATAATATAATTCCATGCAAGATAGAAGTTATCATTAACAGATTAGGAAAGTTAAATAAGTATATTTCAAATGGTTGTGCCATTATGCGGCTGGAAGTTATAATACCCTTGTACAGTATAATAATAATAATAATAATAATAATAACAATGGTAACAATTATAACATACATAATGTGACTGTGGGCATGCGGTAACGTAGTTGGTTGAGACACTATGCTACAAGACGGAAAGTCTTGGGTTCATATCCCGATGTGGTCATTGTATTTTTCAACTGGTATAACATTTCCGGCTGCACTATGGCCCTAGGGTCGATTCAGCCTCTAAAAGAAATGAGTACGAGAAATCTTCCTGCTGGGAAATGGCGGCCGGCGCGTAAGGCTGACAACCTCACCGCCATCTTTTAGCCGATTGTCTAGAAAATGTGGCAGCCTCGGCGTCTCACAACCCTATGGGCCTTCACGGCCTGTTACAGGGATAGCTTTACCTTACGTTTTATATAATGCAATTAAGGAGAAAGTTCTTTGTTCCGAATACGTCAACATCCCTGCAAACAACATTAGCAGCTGCTGCACATCCAGCAGAGGGACAATTTTTACATGAGAAGCAAACATTGAACAGTGCAAAGTCTCTGATATACCGAGCAGGAACTCGGAGACCAACAGTTTCCAGAACAGAAGGGCAGAATTTAGAACCAATATAAACATGGATAAGGAATAGTGCAGCGAGGCGATGTCTCTTCGTATATAAGTCTGCAATTTAACTTTTGCAGAACAAGAAAGTAGCAGCAATGACCTTCAGGAAAGAGACGATTAAATCATAGGGCAGCAAACCTCTGCTGGATGCGTTCCAGCTTGTTGGTAGCAGTTGGCATACTTGTATCTCAAAATTTGGACACGGCCTCAAGCTTAGGTCCAAGTTATATACTATACATATATTACGTAATCTGTACATACATTCAGAAGGTGAAGGTAATACTACGAATTTGATCCAGCTGTTTAATACAGTGGGCAAAGTTTATAATTATAGATCAGTACGTTGCTTTCCCTGGAGAAGGGTATAACTTCAGTTTTGCCGATGTTGCGTTTCATGCAGTTAGCAGAGCACGAACTAGATTTCATGGCAGACTGCAGTAGAGAGCGGGAATGAAAAGACTTGACGGCACGGTGGATTTCTATATCGTCAGCAAAAAGTAGATACTTAGATTGGGCAACTGAATCACCTGAGCCGTTAATAAACATTGGAGAAGAGGGGTCCCAGATCACATCCCTGAGGAACACCGGAAAAACTTCAAATGGTNACTCCATAGATTCACTGCAAAAAACAGCTATCCTGGGAACATCACACATACTACGGAAAGTGCTACAGTGCGAAGCTTGAAGCCTGAGTGGTGAGGTGCATCACTGGTCCAAGCAAAGGAATACCAGGAAATAAACCTGTGACAAGAGATGACGATGATAATAATAATAATAATTGGATTACCATATGGCATGGTTTTGGGCTACTACATTTTCGACTGAGTACTGATTTTAATTTGAAATGATAATAAGATTGCCAGATAATTGTTACTTCGGTTGGGTTAGTATTCTATCTATCCATCCGTCCTTTTGTCCATCCGTCCATCCGTCTACGGCTCTACAGTCCTTTTCTGGACCTTGGCCCCTTTTTCAGTTTCTAATCCTGTACACAGTCGGTAGGTCTCCTTGGATGGGGAATCAGTCCATCGTAAGGCCTCTACCTACACACAGAATAAACGCACACAGACGTCTATACCTTGAGTGGGATTCGAAACCACGATCTCAGCTTTCGAGCGGGAGAAGACAGTTCGTGATTTAGACCTCACGGTCACTCTGATCGGCTAGTAGTAGAACTCGTAAACTGAAATAACTACTGTCGGTCACTCGAGCAGCGAAAGCCCAGCAAGGCTGAACATTTGGCTAGATGCATAGCGAAGTTTCCAGGAATTAGACTGTGTAATGTAGAGTACTACATCAACATGAGAATTTTTTTTTTCATTGGCACCACAGCCCCAGTGGGCCTAGGCCTACCTCTATGAACTTCTCCGTTCACCAACATGAGAATTGCCTTACGTAATTATGGCAGCTTGGAGAATGTAATAGAAGGCTGTGATCTCAGCAGTCAACTATTCATATTCTGAAGGTCAATGTGTAATATTTTTTACATGCACTATTAAGACAGTGAACCAACATTACATCGCTTACTACAGTCTACATAAACCATACACATTGTCCCTGAGATGCGCGTCCCATCTCCAAATGAACTATTGAGCACTGCCACCAAAAGAAACAGCATCCTGAAGTTAGAATGGCGAGATGAGTGAGCACATCGCAGTACTACAAGGTGTGTGAGATGTCTCCATTACACTTTATCTCGCGGTCCTCACCTGCATTGTTGACCAAGATGTGGATGTATGTCTCGGAGCGCAGCAGATTTTGGCAACACTGTCGCACTGAAGCTAAAGATGCCAAATCCAGTGTGACCACCACCACATGACCTGCCCCCTCCACATTTCTTGTTTCGTTTCTGATATCGGCAGCAGCTTGTTCTGCCTTCTTCAGGTCACGACATGCGATGATGACACGTGCACCTGTTGTACGTAAACGTAACAAAAATATCAGGATTAAATGAGCGAACTTACTTACTTAGGAGGAAGATTTTCTAAAAAAAAAAAAACGCGGAATGAACCATGGAGGACGATGAAAACGAATGCCTAGGGCATTTAAAGGGACTACGTGTCGCAATAAATAATCTGTCAACAGTAATAGATAATTTTGCAGGCAAGAAAAAAACACTGGAAATCAATGGATGCACTGCACTAACAATAAATTATAGTGCTTGTAAACATAACGATTGTAGCTGGATGCTACACTCGTGCACAAAAGACTCTGAAAGGAAACTCAGACGCATCGCCAATGTGACGTCACCACCGATTATTATTATTATTATTATTATTATTATTATTATTATGGACCTACAGCCTTTTGTTGAGCCTTAGCCGCTTTTTCAGTTCTTTGAGTCTACACACACAGTCTGTAGGACTACTTGGACGGGGGATCAGCCCGTTATAAGGCCTCTACCTATACACAGAGCATCATAGACACAGAATAAATGCACACAATACAGACATTAATGCCTTGAATGAGATTCAAACCCATGATCTCAATGTTGGAGCGAGTGAAATCAGTTCATACTTTAGACCTCGAGACACTACAAACTGAGAGAAACCCTAAATAATTCCCTAGTAGAAAATGGAAATATCTTTGAACTACGTCAAGTGTCAATTAACTTAAGTTAGCCTGCAACAGAGGCTCCGTTCTTACAGAGGAGCATGACCTTCAAAACAAAACACAAAGAAGCCAGAACATGAACTCGCTTTCTGGGGGTCCTCATTCTCTGCCACAGCAAACAAAAGAATTTATGCTAATGCAGCCAAACAGGTACAAAACAAATTGTTTCTATAAGGAACAGCTCCGGGCCTGTAATTATTTTTCAAGTTATCTTCCGTGGGTAATCGTTATTGTACAGAAGTTTCATATGTTGCTTCTGCGGGGGCAATCGGCACTATGCTACAAGCCAGAAGGTCGCGGGTTCTAATCCCGATGAAGTCATTGGATTTTTTCAATTTACGTAATCCTTCCAGCCGCACTATAGCCCCAGGGTCAACTCAACCTCTGACAGAAATGAGTACCAGGAATATTCCTGGGGGTAAAGGGCAGCCGGCGCGTAAGGCTGACAACCTCACCGCCATCTGTGAGCCGACTGTCTAGATAATGTGAGAGCCTTGATGTCTCTCAGCCTTATGCGTCCGCAAGGCATGTTACAGGGATAACTTTACCTTTCTTACGTTGCTTTTAAAGAAAGTTTTCCATGGTTTGAAAGAAGCTTTACAAAATGCGCAAATATATTTCTGTGATCATCCGATGAAACGAACAGACCAAACCCCTGAAACAAGGTATTATTTTTGGCGAGGGACAAAGTCTAAAAGAATAACCTTAATTAACTTAAAATAAGATGCAAATTACGATCTAAACACAGCTGTCCATCCTATTTCCTTTTGTTGATAAGTGGTTTCAAAGCCCCTACATGTATCGGCCAAACAAGACCTCCTTCAGTGGGTGGATCATAGTGAAGGAAATTTCAAAATTCATGTTCATAGAAGAATTCTTTTAAATATATTAGTGCTATATTTCTTGTGAAACGTTAGAACTGTTATTATGTTAAAATTAATTTATATAGACCGAAGTTAGTGCAGTTTCTTTGGTTATGGTGTGTCATGCCATAAGATATGTTGCCGTTTCATACTCGTTTTTAGGTGTCGATAAGGTGGAGCTCTGCCATTTCGTTGCCGACCTCCGCAAGTGAAAATACTTCACAAAGAAACTGCAGAGCTCCATCTTATCAGCATCCGAAAATACGTATGAGCCACAAACATACAGCACGACAAGAGAGCAGAGCCCGTAATCACCGAAATTACACTAACTACGGCCTGTATTATTGAATATTAAAATAACATTCGTTTTAACCCTTCAACGCTCAGTGGTTCAATGCTTCCCACCTGCTTTAACATACTAAAAATATGCATTCTGCCCACATAATGTGTTTGTGTGTTTGTGTGTTTCATACGCATCTCGATTTTTTCATAAACAGCTTCAACCGGCTTATCTTCGTAGCAGAAACGTATATTTGTTTCGCACAAGGTCTCTTGTCACCACGGAATGGCGCGTCCTCAGGTTGCAGATGAAGGAGACGTTTGCCAGATATGGTGGGTTGTGAATGTATTGAACAAGCAGCCGCGGACAGCCGACATGAGGTGGTCCTTTCGTTTGAGGCTTTGACGTGGGGCTAACAACTCCTCGCCTTAAAAATAAGCTTGTTACGAAAATGAACACAAAAACCTCGGAAATGGACGGATTCTTTAGATAAACAATTTATGAAAGAAATATTTAAGAAACACTAATGCAGACACATAATATTCCAATCTGCAAGATTTTCCTTGAAAACACCCATGAACGGTCCAAGCCCTCCATAGTTCATGTCTATCTTATAGCTGACATCAACATGAATTAAGGAATTCAAATTCATATCTTATAAAAGTAAAAGTAAAGCTATCCCTGTAACAGGCCATGAAGGCCCATAGGATTGTGAGACGTCGAGGGTCCCACATTATCTAGACAATCGGCTCAAAGATGGTGGTAAGGTTGTCAGCCTTAAGCGCCGGCCGCCCTTTGTCCCCAAGAATATTCCTGGTACTCATTTCTGTTAGAGGCTGAGTCGACCCCAGGGCCATAGTGCTGCCGCAAGTATTAGGTCAATTGAAAAAGAATCCAATGACGTCATCGGGATTTGAACCAGCGACCTTCCGGCTTGTAGCATAGTGCCTCAACCAACTACGCTACCGCATGCCCCTTCATATCATATTGTAACATGTATAGCTAGGCAACGGCGCGATAAACACCTTCTCGCCTAAGCGCACTGAACAATACTACAAATGTTTATAGCTTGTTGTTAGGCAACAGTCAGCGCGAGGTAACTATCACGTGACTCGCTTTCTCTGTGATCTTCCTTACGCAACAATAGAACTCTGATTCCTGTGTGGTCCGTGCCGCGGCTATATAAGGAGGTTCCAGGAATAGGCAAGGCTGTGAGAGTGACAAGAGTTCTGAGTTCCGAGTTCTCGGTGGAAGAGAACCACGAAAAGTTCGCTGTGTGAAGGCCTGGTATGATTAGAATAATTTATTCGTGTAATACTTGGAATGCGTGATTCAGCGAGTTCCTGCGTTTTAGTTTTGGCACAAGGAAAGAACCAGTGTGTGCGTGCGCGCGTGTGTGTGTGGGCGCGCGCGCGAGCATGTGTGTGTGTGTGTAAATATTATTGATATCGCTGTATTTAAATGTGATTAAGAGAGATTGTAACCCAGGTGCTAATAAATCCAATCATCTGAACTAGAACCCGTCATTTAATCACGCGTACCACCCTACACGTGACAATATCATATCATATATTCATATCATAAAGGACTGGGTTCTTCTCACCTCTGCGCACAAAGTCCAGTGCCGTGAACTTCCCAATGCCGCAGTTGGCGCCAGTGATGATGGCCACCTTGCCGTCAAGTCGAGCTCTGCTTTCGCAGCGGCCGCTTAGAAGCCACATTTTCTGCTGCCAAATAAAAACAACAAAATTAAAACGTCATACAAAACAACTGTTGGATGTTGGATTTCATGTAACATACATAGAGTGAAATACAGTATATTTTAGTTACTCCCCATATGTCTTAGTTACTTTACACAGGAACAAATTTATGTTTTTATAGCTATGGAACTATGGCCATTATTCACTCCGTGCTCCTACCACAGAAATACGTATTTACTTTTAAACGTAGCGGCCTCCGTAGTTTAGAGGTAACGTTCCCACCTCATGACTCGTGGTACGCGGGTTCAAAACCCGGCGGAAGTCGTCGAATTTTTAAGGGCACAAAAATTCAGGGAACAAGTCCTCCGGGAGGGACTTTAAGCCGTGGGTCCCGTGTCGTAGCTTTACGGCACGTAAAAGAACCTCATATCTCCAAAGGAGATCACTGAGCCAAATTCAAGGACGTTTCCCGCCCAACAGTAGTCTTTAACACCTCTGATAGATGGAGGAAGCATTATAGATACCGCCAAGCTAGTGGAGGCCGAACTCGCTGGCTCGGTCGGGACTGATGGTACGCACCAATATCGGTAGGATATAGAGACTGGTATAATATCATAGAGGGAAGCACAATGGACCAATACTGGTCTAAGTGCATGGGGAAACCCACCCTCTCCATTAACTAACTAACTACTTTTAAACGTTTAGAACTACATTCCTTCGAGCGTTTAGATTCGGTAAATGGAACGGAAGATTACTGTGACTACCAAAGCTGGGATGAGGGTCTGACCTTTGCTTCCCCAGAGAGCAGCACCATCAGCGAGCACTCAGAAGAGTTCATGACAGAATTTAAGAGCTTTGTAAGAATACTTGGCTGTAGGATACGCCGTCACTAGATCTCTACCTGCAGAGGGTGTCAGAAAAACAAGCAAGAAGTTCTGGGTAGTGTAGGCTAAATTTCTGTTGGCCCTCGCCAGCAGTCATTCTCTGTCCCGAGTCAGCGAAAGTCATGGCCATTATTTACTGTCCCACGACTCACGACTCTGGGAATAACTGATTGCATACTTCTCTTTGATGCGACAAGGACCGAATAGAAAACGCCTCGTCCAATAATTTTCTATTGTTTCGTATGTATTTATTGCGGTGGAACGTGTTTTTATCGATCTTTTTCCTAGCGACGGTAGGGAGACATACATACAGACACAAAGAGAGCAAGATAATCCCATAAACCTATTTTACTTTTTAAAATATGGAAAGTGGGCTAAAAACTAAGAGGCCGTAGGCTACATCGTTGCCCTGAATGGGATCTGAATGCAGAATGCTTGAAGATTGTAGTCACCTTACATCGTATGTCACATGTATTCAATAAATAAGTCAACTAAACCACATTCGGTACTTGTGATGGTTGACAATTGCTCACTTTGGCCTTCACGTGCTTAATCCAGTAACAAACCTAAATTTTGTCATCATTACGTAATAATATTGTCATGTGCATCAGTGACAAAAGAGGGGTTCGGATTGGAAATTGGATTTATTTGTCACTTAGAGGTCGGAACTACAATTAACTATAACACTTCCAAGATTACTGTAATTATAACACGTAAATAGAATCAGCTATATCTGCTTACAATTGTCGTTGGTATGTATCAGATCTGAACAATGGCTATTCCCTTGTCAAGATTTCCCAATCCGTTTCCTGGCAAAGGATTTTAACACAGGAACTATAACCGTTACACTCCATATATCACTGCATTACAGCACACATAAAGTCTTCATATCACACGTTAAGTCTTCACTGGCCGACTTCTAATTCTTCTTCAACTACAAACTTCCAGTGGCTATCTCCTACCGAAAACTGACTGACTCGTAGTGCCGATTGTCTTCAAGTTAACTCCTCTGCACGGATCCGACAGAAAACGCCGTCTTCTTTTGTTAAGGATGCGCGTGTACATCTTCGTTGCCTGGCAATAGATGGCCAAGTGGCAGTTTGTTTTTCTATACAGTATAATCCAACTACTGAGAGCGTAGTTAAATGTTACACGGAAAATAAACCGATACTCAGTGTCCTGTTATCACTGCACTTCCCTCCCTGCGCTGTAAGCACGTGTTGGGCGACACTTACCAGCGTTCACTTTACGGCGGCCTGCTGTTGTTACCTTCAGCCCTGTGTCCGCGTATACTCCTGGTGATAGCTCACCTCGCCTGTATCGCTCTTCGGAGACCATCTCTGGTAGGCAGTGCTGAAACCTACGCTGCTCGTGCAGTTGATATTACTTCTTCGCCTTCTCGTTGGCGTTGGGATGATGAGTTGGGAAGACAGAAGGGCGTAATTGGGCACCAGTAGTCGCCACGTTGCAGTGGCTACCAATTAGTGTTTCTGCCCATACAACCATGCTGTGTCACAGCCTACACGACCTCAGTAGCCATAATTGCCGGCGTAAGAATCTTGACGCTTACATCACAGTCAGGATAACCTCTGCTGCCTCCTCATGTAATGCTTATGGTTTGATCGGCATAAAGGCTCCGAAACTTTATTTAAGCATTGATATTTTAGTCCATTAATCTGATGAAGAATTTTCTGTCATTAAACCCTGGGATCATAAAGTCACGGCGTATCACATACGTTTTTCTTTATTAAGCCAAACACAACACACAATTTGGATGATAAAATTGTATCAGATCGTCGAGGGGTCAGCCATCGGGTCATGTTGCTCAGCAGTTAAAATATGAAAATCGCATTCAGTCACGAAACGGAAAGGGGACTGCAACAAACATGTGGAAAGTTCGGGATATCCAAGTTACTTCGTTTCTGATGAATTTTATTTGGACATACTTTCATTTATGAACTCCATGTGAACATTCGCTTAATGTCGTAGTTACTTTCTCATAAACCAGCAACGCTATGTGAAACGACGTTAAGTGGATCAATTATTACCATAAGAAATTTATGAGGTAAGAAGGCTACGATTCTCGGCCTTTCTGCGCCCCCATATCATGCATCACAAACAAACAATATGAACGCGGATGTAAATACATGTACATTTGTTACTGTAAATACTGTAACGTGTTGGCAGCAGCAGCTCTGCAAATACGAATACAAGAAACAACAGAAAGGAAACCGTTGCCTTTGCGATCCTCGTCGAGCAAAAGTACGGAGCTATAGGAAGTCTGTTGCCAGGCGACACAGCTGTAAATATGCATCCATGCATCCACAACAATGGGAGATGGTGTTTCCTTTGTGTCCGTGCAGAGGAGTTATCTTAAAGCCGAACGGCCCTAGGAGTTCATTTCTGAGTTTTCGGTGGAAGATGACCACGGAAAGTTCTTCGTAGAAGTAGAATAAGAAGACGGACTCTGAAGGCTTTATGTGACTAGAAGATTTAGTCACAGTGAGATTGTTTTAAGTCCGTTGCTATGAAGCAACTATTGGAAACAGAGAATCCTAGTGCGTGTGCAACGGTGAACTTGAAATTGTGGAAATCAATGATAGCGCTGTATTTAAATGTGATTGAGAGAACTTGTAAATTAAAACCGAACTAGAACCCATCATTTTCGTCCCGCGTACCACCCTGGACGTGTCAGTACACACAATCGTATACTAAAATAAACTTTATTTAACATATGATATATTGCACCGTCATGAATAAACAGTTGTTTAGGATAGTAACCTTTCTTTTCAGGACAGTGCCACAACTTCAGCGGTTGCCATAGGCTTCCTACCGCCAGGGCCTGGCTTCGATGACAGATTAAGTCATATGGGATTCGTAGTGGATAAAATAGAACAGGGGCAAGTTTTCTCCGAGTAATTTGGCTTCCCCCCCCTAAATTTCCTATCCAGAATGGTCTAAAACAAGGAGATGCTTTATGGCAACTCCTTTTCAACTTTACGTTAGAATATGCCATTAGGAAGGTCCAGGGAAACCAGATGGGACTGAAATTAAATGGGACATATCAGCTGTTTGTCTATGCCGATGATGTGAATCTACTGGGTGATAATGTAGATACCTTAAAAAAACACACACAAACTTTAATTGACGCAAGTAAAGAGGTTGGTCTAGAAGTAAGCACAGTGAAAATTAAGCATATGTTACTGTCTCGTCACCAAAATGCAGGGCAAAATCATGATGTGAAGATAGGAAACAGATGTTTTGAAAATGTGACACAATTCAGATATTTGGGAACAACGATAACAGATCGAAACCTGATTCAGGAGGAAATTAAGAGGAGATTGAACTCGGGTAATGCTTGCTACCATTCAGTCCAGAACCTTTTGTCTTCTCGTCTGCTGTCCAAAAACAAAAAAATTAGAATATACACAACTGTAATTTTGTTTGTGGTTCTGCATGGGTGTGAAACTTGTTCTTTGACATTTAGGGAGGAGCATAGACTGAGGGTGTTTGAGAACAGGGTGTTGAGGAAAATATTTGGGCCGAAGAGAGATGAAGTGACAGGAGGTTAGCGAAAATTGCATACTGACGAGCTTCATAACTTGTACTCTTCTCCAAGTATAATTAGAATGATCAAGTCAAGGACGATGAGGTGGTCAGGTCATGTAGCACGAATCGGGGAGACGAGGAATGCGTATAGGACATTGGTGGGAAAGCCAGAAAGAACGAGACCACGGGGGAGACCAAGGCGTCTGTGGGCGGACAATATTACAATGGATCTTAGAGATATAGGATGGGATGTTATTGATTGGATAGATCTGTCTCAGGATAAGGACCTTTGGAAGTCTCCTGTGAACACGGTAATGAACCTTGGGGTTCCATAAAAAATGCTGGGAAATTCTTGAGTAGCTGCTGATTTGGCGGCTCCTCAAGAAGGGCTCAGCTCCATGAGTAAGTAAGTAAGTAAGTAAGTAAGTAAGTAATTTGGCTTCCCCAGTTAATTCTTATTCCGCCAAATTCTCCCCACCGATCTATCAGCCGGGTCTGGTACAATAGACCAATTAGCAGCCAGTCTACCAAGTAGACACAGTTGCACCCAACCTCACTCCACGGAGAAAACTAAACCCTCCTCTTCGACCATTTTCTTAGAAAGTGCAATGGAGTTGTTTGCAGCTGCGGTATCGCCTTTGGCTGTCTCACAATTCACACTGAACAATGATATAATAATGAGTTAACGCAAAATTGTGTGGAGCCTTAGCATCAAAGTAATATCAACTTAATAACGAAACAACACAATTAGGCGAGGACTTCGATCAGTCCAGCACGCACCCACTCACCTGCGCAGCGCTGCTCAGAACAACGGCACGCACTGGCTGACGTCTCTGCGCACAAAGCAGAATGAACACTGACCTTGTAACCTACTCCTCAGTCAGTAATTCTATTTCGTGGTTTCGCAAGACGTGCTGAATGACATTACTTCAGGTCACAGGCAGCTGATGCAGGTTAGGGATTACACGTAATCGCATAAAAAGATTTTCTTTCAGATACACGCTCACATTATAAAAGTAAAAAAGGTAAAGCTGTTCTTGTGCTTAATTAACTAAGCGCTACACCATGAAGGCGTATGCGGGAGTGGATGTATAAATCTGTATACGCTCACTTTATATGTGCTATAATTTAATGGACTCGTACTTTAATATATCGACAAAGAAAGTAACTTGTTTATATTTTATTTTACAAATGCAACGCGTCGAAAGCAGCCAGTCATAGTACTCTTTCACCATCCACTTCCCTTGATATTAGCACTGAGCTTGAATTATGAACGGTTGCGTCTGTTGTATGCATATGCGAATATTGTCACGTGTATGAGTGACTGTAGATGGGGTTTGGATTGGTTACTCGATTTATTGCCCACTTTAACACACACGACTCCTAACTGCACTTTACAGTTTAATGTTACACACACTAGTATTCTCAGTCTGTTACATTATCCGATTGTCTTTTCCTGGTAACGGTTTCTAACATTGCAGTTTTTTAGCTTCCGCGCTCACGCCGTTGACCGCTGGCCAGTACTCCACAATTGGCTACTAAGTCTGAATCTGAGTCTTATGTTACGACCGACGGTCAGTCGGCCAGTCTGTCTTGGAATAAAGCATCCATCTGGGGCTTGCGGCCAGATTTTTATTACTGTCAGATAGTTGTGGGTTTGTTGGGGGGGGGGTCTCTCTCTGACGAGAGTATGGTTCTGTCCTTTACAATTGCCGCTGGTCCTTGCTAGCGCAGTCATTCTTGGGTCCGAGTCCCGTGAGATCATATTTTAGTGTCTCAGATTTGAGACTTCCCTTTCCTTTGCCTCCTACGACTCGCAGGGTCACGGTGGAGGTGTTCGTTCCCGCCTCCACACTGAATTCAACTGACAAGAGACTGAACCCATAGCCTGCGCTTCTTCTTGCTTAACCTACGGCAAGGCCATGCAGACGCGAGCGGCGACCACTGCTCCTCCAGTCGCCGTGATGACCTGAGTTCGACTGAGAAGATATGAAATTGGAGCTGGGAGATTCAGTGGCGCCATGGTTGCGCAAAGCCACCTTGCCACCCTGCTCAGATATGGGTCGATGACTCCATAAAATGGCTCGTGTATAAAGGCTTTACTATGTGAATTTCTTTCAGATGCTTTCTGAGCAGTATTTCTCTTACGTTTTATTCCAAAAATATTATTTCGTTAACAGTTTTTGTAGCAGCCATAAATTATTATTTCTCCACTTAGATCTATATCTGCTACAACTTTCTAATTTTAATTTAAATACGAATGCATTAAAGAAAGGGAAAGTCGACACTTCGCAGAGTTTTCAAAAAGAGAGGAAATATAAATAGAGTGCACTGATATGCAATGCTTAATATGCAAGGAAAGTGTAAAAATTCTGAAATGAGTATAATAAATTCTGATTCAGATCTATATCAGTCACAAACTCTTACTTTCCTTTAATGGTGAATGCCTTAAAGAAAAGGCAAGTTGACGCTTATGCCGAGATTTCAAGAGGAAAATACATATAAATATTTTTAACTGATACGCAATACTAAATATGCAAAAACGTAAAAATTCCGAGAGAAAAGCATAAAGAGCTGCAGGAAGTTTTTGAAAGTAGAAGGTAATAACTTCTGGAGATATATAAAAAAAAAGCATCTCGTTATGGTAAACGGAAGTAAGTTACATTACTGCATGGCCGCACCATAGCTCAAGCGGTTAGTCGCTAGCTTCCCACCGCGGCGGCCCGGGGTCTGATCAAGTGGGATTTGTGGTGGACAAAGTGGAGCTGGATCAGGTTTTTTCCGAGTACTTCGGTTTCCCCTGCCAATCTTCATTCCACCAGTTGCTCCACAATCACCTTCACCTATCATCTGGGGCTGGTACAATAGGCCAGAAGTGGCCGCAGTGCAAGGGACTTAGTCCCACCCCACTAGCAAAAAAAAAAAAAAAATACATTACTGCACACGGTTAGCCGCCTTCTGACGGAGACTGCACAGTATCAGAGGCCGTGCTGTTGACTCCGTTCCAATCGGTTCCAATTATAACTCAAGGCAGACCAGAAGAATACGTTCAAGGCAATCGGCTCAAAATGGCAAATTGCATCAATCCTATGGCGTAATACACTGACATATTGGGTTTCTGGACTTTATCCATCGTCCTGGTTTTTAAGATAACAAATAAAAACACGACGTTTCGGAAACTGGATCTGTTTCCGTCCTCAGGTGAAGGAAAACACCTATTCAGTTGGGTCCCTTAGAAAGAGCTAGCCTCAATCACTGGACNCAATTAAAAAAAAAAGGGGGGGGGGGACACGCACAGATATCGTGAGGAATCCGTAAGCCTTATTCAGTTATAAGAAAGGAAATTAAGGTAGAAAATAATTTTAAATGAGAAATGTATAGAAATAGAAATTTTGCAATGAGAATAATTCCGCAGTACCAAGAAAACGATTTTACTGGGCTTTTAAACCAGTACAAAGAAAGAACTTGAGTCTGATTTTGGCTTCATCTATATTTGTCCTTTATGTGCAACGGCAGTGATCGCCTCTGTGATAAAGTGGTCAGAGTTCCTGGCTACAGATCAGAAGACCGGGTTCGATTCCTAGTGCTACCAGATTTCTGAGAAGTAGTGTGTCTTTCTAACGTCTGCTTACATGAAAGTAGTTCCTTGATTATCGGTTAAATTACCTTGTTTTTGTTTCCTGTGGGAAAAGAGCAGGATCTAGAAGAACGGGCCAACGGAATATTGGGATGCGCAGAAATGATATGAGCAATGTGAAAAGTGCGCTTGCGCGAAAGCTACCAATGACTGTATCCAGTACTTGCCTTTGTATATGGCTGGACGCCGTCTGTTGCCATAACGCTGTGGTGAGGTCATCAGTGATGGAAGTTGGGAGTAAAAGTCGATTAATATTTATTTTGAAGTTTATTTTTTAATTTGTTAATATGCACAAGGAAGAAGGAAGAATACGTTATGCACTTTTGGCGAACTTTTTATTTCATAAGAAACCATATACTCGTGTATTTCATGCTCGCATAGTCCTGAATTCCAACTCCTGTCCTCATATTTGAGGGGAGATATTAAACCTCCGCTCAAGAAAATTTATTGCAGTCTGGGGCTCAAACTGCCTTTTTCAAGGCTTTAAGAATTGTGTTAGCCCGTTTCCTTGCGCTCAGTAGGCATATATTATACCAACAACAGAAATAAATATTTATACACATAAGTACGTATAAGAACTTTAGAATCATATAGTAAAATTTGTAATGTAAATATAAATATTCATAAACATTTTTTTCGGATTTCAGAAGTTGTCAAAAGTGGTTATCAATATATAATTTTTGTATGAACCAATCCATAGAGCTAGGAGTAGGGATAACTCAGGAACAGGTTTAATTCCCGGCGTCCAGGTCGGCTCTGACACCACACGGCTCCATATCCAATTGGAATCAGGGGGCTCTTTCCCTCTAACCCATCTATAGTTTTTATATTTTATTGTAAAAATTTTCTCACAAGGTGCAAAGCAAATTATAGTACAGTTCACTTTTTGTTAAAAGAATCGTATATTTTGTGTCAGATGCAATCTGGGACAATTAAAGACAAGAATTGTAATATAGTTACATGATGAAATATTGAAGTATCCAAAATATGTTGTTCTTTTATAATTCGTTTAGTGGGGGGTGGAGTCCAACTGTGTCCACTCGGCACGGCGGCCACTGATTGGCCTATTGTAGCCTGCCCCTGGTGATTATGATGATGGAGAATTTGGTGGAATGAAGATTGGTAAGGGAAACCGAAGTACTCGGAGAAATCCCGCCCCAGCGCCACTTTGTCCACCACAAATTCCACTTAACCAGACCCGGGATCGAACCCGGGCCGCCGCGGAGTGAAGCCAGCGACTAACCGCTTGAGCTATGGCGCGGCCATTCCAAAATGTGTTTAGATGATGCAGTTCTCCTAATTAATTCCTACCCAAATTGATTACTTCTTATTATCACTATTTCAGTGACTATAGACAGGGTTTTGATTGGCAATTTGATTTATAGAACTCTTACAGATACATGACTATAAGTAATTATAACCGTTTCACTAGTTCACTAGTGTATACACTGAAGGCTTCTTAGACTGCTGCGTCTTCACTGGCATTGCTTGGTAGCGGCTTCCAACCGCGGACGCTCTTCTTCCTCTGGGTTCCCGAAATTTCCCCGGCCTCAGCTATCAGCTTTTAACAGCATCGGATCACAATGACTGAACTTCATCATTTCTTTAACTCACTGTTACCAACCAATCAACTCTCTTACTGAACTCACTCCTAACTATCCAGCTAGACACGGACGGCATAGAAAACACCTTTTCTCTGTTGCGGTTTAGGGGCTGTTGCCTAATAACGGTCGTTATATAGTTATTTGTTTCACGATCGATCCTTCCTTAAAGCTATCCTTTCCAAATAGCTTACATGTTTACCATCATTTCTTATTTTCCGAAGGCTGTTCCAGTATTTGTTCCTTCTTGCCTGAGTTCGACTGAACCAGCCATATCCAGTCCAGTTAACCTGGTCAATCCAATCCTAATTCTGATACCAGTTATCACGTGATTGAGTGATTATAGATGAGATTTGGATTGGTAATTGGATTTGTTTTGCCGGTCACGGTAGCCTACCGGTCTAAGGCATGTACTGTTTTCGCTCGCTCGGAAGCCGGGATCGTGGGTTCGAATCCCACTCAGGACATGGATGTTTGTGTGCGTTTTTCTGTGTTTGTCTACAGGTAGAGGCCTTGCGACGAGCTGATCACCCGCCCAAGGAGTCCTTCCGTATGTGTAAGATCTAGAAAAACCGAAGTGAACGGAGTTCATGGAGGTAGGCCTAGGCCCACTGGGGCTGTAGTGCCAAGGAAAAAAAATGGATTTGTTTAACTCTTACAGATCCGTGACTATAATTACGACCGATTCACTAATTCACTCACTTTACAGTCCGCTGGAGCCCACACTCATCATCATTCCCTTTTCAACTTCCGCTTTACGACCATAGGCGTTTGGTGTGTGATTAGCGCAAACCGTATCATTGGACCGATATTTTATGAAGGAACACT